TTATAATATGAACTAATATTTACAACATTAAAACATGAACATTAAGAACATATAACATATACAACATGAGAATTTGAGATGGGTAAGGGCCGCTTATATAACCCGCGATTACCAAAAATTGCAACAAAAGGAATCAGTAATCGACATTTTCAAAGACCAATAGATTTTAAATTAACTAGTGGCACCGATGCTCAAAATATGCAACGGATGGTATCGCGTACCACTGTACCAAAATTAATTGTTGCGGAGGAAGATTTTACCACGTGACTCACTTATCTGATTCATCAGATTGGCTTGCCGTAACACTATGGTTATCATACAAATTATCCAACCTAAACTAGCGTGTGCAAATTTATCTACTCATTTAGACTTATTATCCAGTTTACCATCCTTATTACAATAATCGAAACGAATACCGAAATGGCGAAAGATGACTCCTAATGCAAAATTTTCGTTAGGGGACCAACATCGCGCACGTATCACAATACTTGATTCGTGTCCATGGAAGTGTTTTGACGCGGTATGGTAAAGGCCCCCTATACACCTTTGAACGTCATCACGTCGGAGGTTATTATCTTTACATTTTTTCTGTAAAGATCGGCTAAATCTTTCGTCTTGACATAAACGCATCAAAGCCTTATCTACGGGTTCTGCAAAGGTAATCGACGTATCTCTTGATAAAATCTATTATCGGAAATGAGAACTAAAGTCTAAATCAGGTAGAACAACGGAAACAAAAAAATATGAACGCAAACAGTTGCCTGCGAACGAACAAACTCTAACGCACCCCTTATGCTGCACTTACTTTCCACGTCTAACACTTGTTGTGCTCGATCCTCCGAAATTCGTTACGTGCATCTATCAACTCTTCCCGATCTTTTTCCCGTTCTTTCGCTATTAGATGTTGTAGTTGGACAAGTTGACTCATTACAATATTTCGTGCCTTTGTGTCCAGTTCGGTCATGTCGATGGGGAAACTGAATATATTAATACGAGACGTTATATGACCGACTTCCGTACGATCATTAGTTGAATGATTACGAGCCCACTAAATCCATAAATAATAGTCAGAAAATATACAAACGACAATTAAACATACAGACTGCAGTTGGCTTACTATTACCATAAGTGCTCTACTCCGCGTGAGCCTCGAGAATTTTAGTGCGATCACGAAATCATGTTCACTGTTTAAAAATTACTGTATTAACTTGATAGAAAGAAGAAAAAAATTTTTTTTCGGCTTTACATGTCATAAAAAGGGCAGTCACATGATTTTTGAGTGATACGCATTCTTCATGATTGGGTAGCAAGTTTCACAGCGCAAATCATCCAAATATAGTCTAAAATATGGCGCAACGGCACATTACGCCACTGATTACACTTTATTTATTATTACATGATCGTTTCGCGCATGTTATTATTATTATTATTATAAACGTAACAGTATAAATATCTATCTAATTTAAGTAAAAAGCAAGTCTTGAATTGCGTGGTTCCACGTTCTCTGTTGTGTTCTAGCTCTTAAAGCCTCTTCACATGCCTGCGTTTCGTTCATTAAGACTCGTCTTAGTCGCTTATATGTATGATAAAACTGATCGTTTTGAATGTTATCTGAGACGATTTTCAATAACGACTCAAATTTCTTTTTGTCCTCAGTAAGTTCAACTTTTCTAGATTCGATTAATTGATTACGATTACGGAGACTTGTTTCAATATTACGGTCTATGCTCATCGAAATCTCTGACTCATCTGTGGGAATTTCATTCATCTCATTCCAGGGATTGTTTACAGGATCAATGTTTGCACGGGCTTCACCAAACCAGATAAGTGGATAATCATGTCTTCGCCATGTTGTTGCATATTGAGGGAAGAATGATGGATTACTGTCTCTGCATGCTTTTACAATATGTTTACACACTAAGAAAGTGTTGCTGATAAATGCAGGGCATGAGCAATCCAATTACTGACATCTGTTAAATAATTGTCTTCTGAGCCAATATCCTTGTCCAATGCTATTTTCCATTCATTTTTAAATGCTCCCCACCAGGAAATGATTGTTCAATCTTTTACAGTTGATTATTTGATTGGGAATCAATTCTCTTGTTAGAATCTGTGTTAGGCAATCTAGGCAAGGACAATTACAGTTATTATTATATTTGTAATTATATTTTAGAACATGCCAGTGTGATTTTACAAGCATCATTGTTCTTGCTAATGGTATTGCTTTAGATAAGAAGCCCTGGTGAAGAGATTCCAATCTGACTTATTATACCAATTAATCCACAGATATGCCCACAAATGAACTAGATTGTCTTCTTTGCAATATCTATACATCTCTTCAACACTCTGGTGATAAATCTCCATTGAGGTAAGAAAGATTTCTTTGCTGATTGGTATAAGTGGGTGAAGTGTTGCATGTCGTTTTACCATATTTGATACTTCTTTTATTTTATCTTGTTGGTATGTAATACCCTCACTGTCTCCAGGTATCCAGGATGCATCAATAAAATGAAATTGTTCATTGGCTTCTTATGCTTTCTGTGCTGTATACTGACTCAATTTATACTTTTTATCTCTTAGTTTACAATCAATTGCATGTTTGACATGCCATAAACAAAGCTGAATATTGGCTGTCCAAGACCAGGCCTCCTGTATGGCTGCTATTTGGCCAGCATCTTTATCCACAAGAACAAAAGTAGGTAAGATTCCGCCTGTCTTAATGACAGAAAGAATTCTTTAAGAACTTTTGCTCATGAATTAATTGCATTTCTAGGATCTTGGAGTCAGTTATCTGGGGCTGTGAAAGTATCAACATATAGATATGCAAGTGGAACTCCATAACCACTGCAATTTATTATCACTGCAAAGAGTTCAAACTTCTCTTGATTGGTCTTGAAGGTAGAATCTATTATAATTTCATTAATATTGTCTCTTTGAATATGACCATTAAATGGTGTAAGGAATCCAAGTGCTCGCACAAAATTGTTTTCGACATATAGCATTACTTTGTATCCCTCATCAATTAATTCATTTTGCTTTAAAAAGTTTAAAGATGATATGAGTTGATTGGAGGCATTGGTGACATATTAATATTGTTGAGTGGAAAATTTTGAAGCCCAATAATACACTTGGTGATAGGTGTGTATTGTTGAATCAACAAGCCCTTCTTCACAAAGCCTTTTGTAAATGTCAACTTTTCTGAGGTTTCGATTGAGATTATTGAATATCCATGTTATGGCATTTTTAGGTAAATTATTTTCGTGGTAGGTTGGATGTTTATGAGAAACTAAATGCTTGATCTTAACTTTTGCTTGATGTATGTTGATATCAATAGTAATCTTTCCCTTACTATTACATGGATATCTTTCAATCAGAGGTCTTGCTTCACTTATTCTCTTCATCAGTCAATTTTCTGGATGTATAGATTTTTGATCCATTCTTTGAGCACAAAATAGATTATATTACGAAATTTGTCTTCTTCCATAGTATTGTGTGAGTTATTGAAATTATCAATTAATTCATCTTCAAGTTCAAAGGTTTCTGAGAAATTTATAGTGAATTTTTTTTCTCAGCCTCCATGGAATCAGATAAATTCTCCAAGCATCTTGCACATTGTACAGCAAGAGCACAATTTGCTTTGGATATTGTCAAAAACACCAGCTGTTTGGTCTGAAGAAGCCATTTTTTGAATAAGCTGTGTTTAAGTGCAATTGAAGGATATAAGATTGGATTTTGTGCATTCAGCTGTTCAATTAATAGTAATTTTTTGATTTTGTTAACAGAACAATTCAAATATCACAATGATTTAACGTGTTTAGAATTTTGAAAAACCAGATCTTTTATAACAGTTTTATTATGCTGCACACAATGACATGTTAATAAAGAATGCAAATTTCTAATACAAGGACAAAGTCACAAAGAACTACAAAATTAGATTAATTAACTATGATTTATGATTATGAAGTCACTACAAAGATATTGACTTTTGAAATGTTACAGTGCATAAATGTAAAACTAATGTCAATGCCATATGTACAATGTAACATATTTCCTTTATCTGATGTGTAAGACTTTATTTTGACAATGTGACTACAAAGTAACATTAGTCTTTTCTTTATTCAATTGTAAGATTTTATTTCACAACAACGATATAACAGTGAAAGCTTTGATGTCTTTATGATAATTATGCTGTACCATATGATTGCCTATTTTGGCAGTGTGTGACTACTTTTTTGTTTACTCTGGATATATTTGGACCTACTCACCACACTGGCCATGTTACCCAATCATACTGACATGATAGTCTTAATCATGTGACTGCCCTTTTTCTGGGCCAACCACATAGCACTGCAAGAACTAAGAGTCTCTCTACCTTATCTCGTCTTTAACCAGAAATCAACTCACAACAAATCTGAACCCAGGCTGTCTGGTCTTAAAGTCTGTAAAATGATTGAAGCCAAACAGCCTGGTACCATATCTCTCCTTCCAACTCTATCTGAACTGAGAACAATCCTCCTCCCCCCTCTCCCCTCTTCAATATCTCTGTTTCAATTTGAGGCACATGGTACCTTCTCCTGGGAAGAGGTCTTCCACAAAGACTGATCCAGAAAAGTTGCTGATCTTTGGTGGAAAATTGTTCACCTTTGCCTCCCAGTGGGGATTAGTGTCCTCCAGTATAGAGCCAACTGCCCCTGGTGTGAAAATGTAACTATTAACATCCCTCACCTCTTTGAATCCTGCCCTATGTAAGGCAGAAGACTGAGGAATGTGCTGTCTTCCTAACACCTACTAATACTCGACATCCAATCAAACTTCTCATCATACACCCCTCATCATCCCACCAGCAAACAGAGAGACTCCTACAATCAGCAGCCCTCTATATGATTTGGAAAGCATATACCCATCATGTATTCAGGGGAAAACCCACCCCAACTCTCCCAGAAATCCAACAAACCCTTGCCACCCTCATACTCTCATTTTGATCCACTGCTCTAGCAGCAAAATCAGGAAAGAAACCTCCCTGGCCCCCTGTCAAATCAATTATAGATTCAATAAGATTCTAATCCAACATCCCCCTTTTTCTTTTCATACCTTTCTCAATACCAGTTAATAGTTTTCATCTTTTAGTTCCTATTAGACTCAAACATGTATTTCTTATGATGTGATAAAAACAGCTCTAGAGGTCCACCTTAGCTGTGCTTAATAAAGGACACACAAAATTATTAGTGTCAGGAAGATCCAGCATAACATTTGGGAAAGTGTTGACAGAGTAACTTTAGAACTTCTAACTTCTGCTGCTTCTCTCTAACATAATAATAATGTTATACACTTTTAATCTGCGAGTGTTAATGTAGTACAATGGCCGAAGACATTTATCGTTTGGCATACATCATCGAATTTATATTAATGTATTGTATTATAATTTATGGAGGCTTTAATTTAACTGGTAGTGTCATTATTTTATATAAATGTTTCAAAAGTGTTTTTCTTTTCTAATCAAACTGTTCGGACAGCAGTCCTATTCAGGTTTAATTTTCGTCCGCGTTTAAGTTTTACTGACATAAATAATTTGCGGTTCGGAGACGATTAGATTATAAATACAGTCGCTATTTTGATATTTGTAATCTAGTCTTTGTGTTGAAATTATTGGAAGTGTTTTATTATTTTAGCCTACGCAAAATATCCCTCATAATGTAGACTAATGTCAGGCATCGAAACATTCCAATGAAAATATTCTATCACAATATTATAATACACGAGACTAATGTCATAAACCAGCCACAGCGGGAAAAAACTCTCGAAGTGCCGATTATGTAATTGCCAAAGTTTTAAAGAGGGCAGGTTTCAAAGGAACTGCACATTTTACTGCTTTAACTGCGGCTGCTGTCTCTCAAATACGACACTATCAAATGTCCCGGGAACTACTCCTGTTGTAGTCTTTGTTTAATTGCCGGACTGCACATGTATATTAGTCATTTAAATGCAATATATTGAATGCCTAAACTTTGAATTTTAAATTTTAAAAAGATCTAAAGATAGAACTTGTAGGATTAAAAGCATAAGTAACTGGACAACTGGGACGGTTTCAAACTGACAATGTTGTAGTCTAGAACTCAGTTATCTCAGTCTAGAAGACAAATTCTAACTGCAACCAAACATTACATCTGGGCCGGCGCACCCGATTGCAGATTGTGATTTGGTCAAAACATAAATTTATTTATCAAATACAATAAGTAATTAAATGTAAGGTTTAATTATTAGCTAACAATACATTATTTGTTTGCATTAAATTCTATGTGTTTGCTAATAGCCAATAGGTATTATTGAACACGTTCTAAGATTGCTTGAAAAGACCAACGGCGAAAAATCAATAAAATTACGCATAAACGGTCCCAATTATTTTGTATGAGGAAAACTAACAGCAGAGAACCGGAAAGAGTCGATATCAAATATTCCTCTCCTACATTTTACTGTTTTTACGCTGTCAGGAACGGTCAATTCAAAGAAAGCTCTACGATCATTGAATATTTTGGGCTAAAATTATATAGGAAAAAAAAAAGGCTTAATCAAAAAGTCGTTGTAAACAAGCATTTATTTTATTTACTACTTTACCTGATCAGTAGCGTTAACCTTCACAGGAGCCTCGCATTTGAATACTGCTGTAACTTTGTCTACAAAAAATGGTTTCAATAGCGTAAGACTTTATTTCATAATTGTCTGAATACAAGATAAACGTCTTTCACGTACCGTCATCCTCATATCCATTGCCATACCACACGTTTTCCACAATATATTTATTAGGATTGCCTTTGACCGCATGAATAAGGATTGGTGTAGGCAGAACCTCGTGAGTTGGTAATCGCTTGGCGGCAGTATAAACAGCCAGGAGAAGAAGAGAGAGTATAGTAATGTGTGCAAATTTCATTTTTACTTCAAAGATTGCAAGATTTTTTTCTACGAATGTTTCAACACAACGCGTTTGGAAAGATTTATATAAAACAATTGCGAGTTGGCATGTGGTTAAGAAATTGACTATTTTGCTATATACTAATTTGTTAACGTCCAAGCAAATCGATAGAATTTGATTGTGCATCGGAATACGTAAGATTGTGATACCATCTGTGATGCACGGATAGATTCATCGTCATTTGTGATATCATGAGTAGAAGCAAAAATTGGTTACCGTCCGGGATGTATCGATCTTTTGATAATTGATGTATCGATCATTATGTTATGATCGGTTGTAATACCATGTGTACCAGTGATCGTTTGTGATACATGATGAGAATCACCGACGGACGTTTATCAACAGGAGACATGGCAAACTCAAATTTGCGTAGACTGTAAACATTATGCCGCTCTGTTAGACGTAATTAGAAAAGGCAAATGATCTTGTGGTTTCACTTAAGAAATTATAAATCAGGACGTGGCGTATTAAGGTCTATACGGAGAAGATGTTTGTGTACGTTTCATGTTATCCCGAAGAAAGAATTCAACGGAACCGAAAGAACAAGTTTTGTTTAGAGTTAAAAGTTTCTCTAACCTTAAATATGTACAGTATCTATTAATAGCATGAAATGGGACTATTAAAATTCATTAGATGTTAATTCATATTAATATGCGATGACGATAAATGTAAAGTCATTAACCTCCCTTAAGTTATACCAATCAGCAAAACATTATGGACAATGGGTCGGAGAAAGTCCGCAAGCAACATGTTGTCATCATTATTAGATTCTTGTTTCAAGTCTGATAAAATGTCTTTTTTGCAAAGGTCGCAGCGTATCTCGCAAATTTGCATTTATTATTATAATTTGAAACATGAGCAGAGCCTACTACTTTGTCTCGCCCTTCGATACCAAGAATTTTGAGTCTAAGGAAATGCATACTCCGTATTAAACAAGTACTATAATAGGAAAAAAGTGTGGTTACATGAATGGGAATCTAGTCTATATGACGATCGCTAAAGCAATAAGCAGTAGCATGACAAAGGCCGTGCCGATGAGTTCAAATAAGACAATGTCATACAAAACGACACTTTCCCGTTTGACTAGTTGGTCGAGTTTTTGCTTTTCTTTACGGCGCACTGATCTGGAAATAGTAATTAGTTTGCCGAGTTATGGTTGGTTGGTCAAGAGTTACCCCCAAGATGGTGCTACAAGAGTTACCCAAGATGGGAACTAAATGTAATGAGTATTGCGGTTAATCTATGCGGAAAGATCAACTTGCGAGTTCCAAGGGCTGGTTGATCAGAAGTAAATGACTTTGTATTTCCAATTTTGGTAAACAGATCGGTACATTAAAAGTCCCGCGGCTCTCCTCTTTGCGGTCAGATGCCTGTTTTTGACCCTGGATCAAGGGTGATGCATTCGGTGTGTTGTTCCTCCGCTCACGGTAAATGGTAAACAATGTTAACTATTTCATGTGTATCACAAAGGATTGACTTTCTGCTCACGGCAACACAATTTCTCGTTTTAACCAATGTCCGATGCATAATCAAATTCTACCAATTTGCTTGGACGTTAACAAATTAGTATGGCAAAATAGTCAATTCTTACCACATGCCAACTTTTGATTTTTGAAGACCTGATCATCAGTCGCAATTTTTTATATAAATCTTTCCAAACGCGCGTTGAAACATTTGTAGAAAAAATCTTGCAATCCTTGAAGTAAAAATGAAATTTGCACACATTACTATACTTTCTCTTCTTCTCCTGGCTGTTGTTTATACTACTGCCAACCCAATTCACGAGGATCTGCCTACTACTTCGCTAACCTTTGGATCACACAAACCACGAGACAAACAACCACGGGCAAAGATAGTGGACCATATACCTGCTACCGAAATTCTGCCTTTACCAGTCTCTGTTGAAACAGTCGATGGCGCGCCTAATAGCTACCTTGTAAAAAGTTCGTTGTATTCCACCGGATATGAAAATTATGGTATGTTAAGATGTTTGCATAACATATATGTCTCTCGTATTAGAATATTGTAATGCTTATAGAACCATTTTCTCTAGGTAATTTTGCGACCAAACTTACATGCGAAGACGGTGTAAACGTTAAGTCAATTAATCCGAAGGTAACTAATAAATAGAATCAACTACATTTGCTTTTATAACAAGGAAATTTACAATTATACTAAATAAATTAAACTTTTAAACAGTTTAAGAAAAACGAAAGTGACTCCCTTAGAAGCGACTTTAAATTGGTTGTTCCTTCAACCAAGAAGATAGTGACTTGTGTTAGACATGTGGTTGAAGGAGATGCTACTATGATTATTTCTTTTAGTTTTAATCCTGTACACGACTCTGACTAACAACGCGGATTAATTTAATAGATTGTTATCTGTTTGTATTGTTACTCCAAGTAATTTTAGCAAATTGCTCGATAATAATTAATGGCTATTAGTAGATATTAATATAGACTTTGATGCATCTAAATATTTTATTATTACAAGCAAAGACCAGATATTTGTCTTTGAGTGTTTAATTACGTAATTGGCAATAAACTTATTGAGCAAGCGATCATATATTATTAAAACCAATGTCGATGTTAATGTCTTTAACAAGTTTTAAACCTTTTTATTCGCACTAGAAGTGTCTTCATCTGTCAGCCTTTAGCAATTTTATCATATCTGTTGTTTATTGCTTTGTTTTCATACTATAACTTTTAATATTTTTAAGTTTGTGTTGATTTGACCATCATAATCAATCTTAGTTTTCCAAGATTTTTTAAGTTCCTATTGTGTGTATGGTATAAAAGCTATCACTCGTGTGTTGTGCTAAGTTACTGCGAATTATTCTTCCTGGTCTTGCTTAACTTTTTATTCGCAGTTTGATCCTACTCCAACCGCTCCTAGGAGAGTTGCTTGCCTAGACCGAGTAACCTGCCACAATTTTGGTTCAAAAATGACGAATTGTTGGTCAATATTAAGATACAATTAATTTTACAAATACTAATCTTTTTTCTTACAACCTCAGTCTATCACTGTGTTCCTAGACTTGTTGCTATCAGTATACTTGAGCATAGGTCCTTCTATGGTTTCCGCGCAAATTATTGGTTTTTTTGTAAACTAAAATTTATTAGGATAAAGTTATTGCAACATATTTATTATTTAGTTGATTACAAATATAAGTCAAAGTGTAAGCATTTATGTTAGTGTGTAAATCCCGTCACTTTGCAAATCCTGTCCGATGTCCTCAAAACCGCATTTACGTATATATAAATCCCCAAAATCGCATTCATTATGTCGTCTAAAGGCTATCGGTCACGAGTTTGTTTACTATTACTATCAAAATATTTTTTCTCTATTTTCAATAGACAAAAATAAAGTCTTCTTTAACCTTAAATCTGTGGGGTTTAAACTAAGACTATGCTCGGACTTCTGTCATTAGACTTGGAATCTGCCAATCTCCGGAACTGCTTATTTTCCATGAACATTGTATGTATCGCTGTCATAAGAAAAATCGTATATCGACTAATGTTTATTGTCGTATGCCCAATAGAAAAATAATCACTAACGTATTTAGTAACTCAAAACATATTTTCACAATGATATGTTTACTCGTAATTATATTGCGAACCATACTGTCTTAGATCACATGACACAGCAGCCATTATTTTCTTCGGGCAACCATTACATTTGTCATAATGCAGGTTCCTTTTGGTTTAAGTTTATTAATTGAGAGGCTAATTTTCGTCCGTCTTTGGTATTACGCCCCACAAGTGTAATACGGATTGGCGTTGGATTTTCTAGCTTCGATATGCGCATTTGTCAGTAATAGTAATTGTGTTATAGCAAAGTTACGCGTTGCATCCTGAAATAGTTAGCAATCTTGTATCTGCGCAATTTTCTGTTCAATGTCCGATTTGCGGTTGTTTTTATCTGTGTTTTTCCAAGGAGTCCATATTTAGACTTAGGGTTTTTAGAGTTAAAAAAAACACAAGGTAACAAAAAAAAGAGCCATCACTTAAAAGTAGTCCTATCAATACATTTTTATGGTATGGCGACAGTTATTATGATATCGCTGTCGTTACGAATTGAAGTTGCATAAACGTATGAAATTCTTTGTTAAAGGTCGTTGAGAAGAAGATTATTTTGCGCGTTGGTAATTGGAACAAATAATAGGAAAGCACTCTTTAATTGTATCCACGCGTAATTATAGCATGAAAATTCCTTGGAAATTATGGTATGACAAAAGAAAATTAGGTCATTAGCCTGATTTAGTGTAGAGTTATCGGGTATAAGGATTATGTCAGTGCATACTGTAATCATTATGTAACATTTTATATTTATTGTGGGAGCTGATGCTGAAATCCGGCTGAAGGATCTTTCATTGGTTGATCAGATTCTATTCTCATAGCCCCATTGGTTAGTTTCAGCATCAGCCGGATTTCAGCATCAGCCGGATTTCAGCATCAGCCGGATTTCAGCATCAGCCGTGACATTTTTATTATTATTATAAATAATCGTCGATTTTAATGATTTGGTACCAAAACTACTCGATAAAGCAAAAAAGAATATCTGGGATTGATAAACATAATAAAGGATTACTATTCCATGGCTGTAGTGAACTAAACCGGAGCGGTTCACTATAAACAGCCTCAACTGTAATTAGCACAAAATAGTTATTGTGTGGATTGCCTTGTAATAAAAGAGTAAAGAATACCCAAAAGCCATCGGTGAAAAGAGTAAGATAATTGGTAAACTGTACTACTACGACCAAAGTCCATTTTATGTGTGAAAGCCAATTTTTATTCCAGGAAAGGCATTTGTCAGTTAAATCCCTACGTCCATCATCCTTGTTAATTGGAACTTCACTCTTTAGGTTTGGTGGATGAATGGTGTTTTGATAAAAAAAATGTGATGGTGGCATGCTCCAAGTTGTCTTATTTCAATTGTGGGATCATTAGTATCTAATTCCCGAGTTACTATCATATTATACAAAGGTCGCAAATCAGTTGCAACGTTTCTACAAGAACACATGGAGTACATTTTTTTTAATTGATCTCGCCTCTTCTTTTGTTATTGGAGAAGTTTCAGAAGTTTCAGTATGAGAGATATCCTCAATATTATCCCAATCTATAGTCGTCAGCTAGTAAATTTTCTTCGAGTATGTTGGAATAAATGTTTCTTCATAATCGCTTTCTTCGTCAAACTCTCAAGGCTTTCGTCGATCTCCATAAAAGCATTTTAAATAACTATTTACTAAATGCTCTGTCTCAGGAATAGTTAATTGTTTAATGCTTGTAATTAAATCAGTCAATTTATAACAGACGCGCCCATTATTATTTTAAATTAGTGTCTATAATAATAATAACGTTCACCAGCTTGAGAGAATGAACTATTTGTCACCAGGAATCGGTATCTTTATCATCCCGCGACTTTTGGAGGTGAGTTTTTGTATATCATCGCTTAATTATTCTTGACACTGATTTGTATGTCCTAAATTCCTTAACAAAGCATTGGAAACGCAAACAGACTTGCTCCCTTTTTTATTTACGCATATGCGAATATACTCAATAATCTCTATAGATCAATTAATTAATGACTGATCCCTTTTATTATGTTTTAATACACTTAAATATTCTTACTATATCGTTGGGCAATACATATGTATAGCCAACCATAAGAATATCTTCCATCTAGTGAATAGTCTCAGCTCTATATATTTAAAACTATTCCACTCCTTCACAGCCTCTCAAGTTCACTTACTTTGAAAACACCTTCTCGATGGCCTTCCCAACGGCCTCTAAATCTTCCAGTAGCGTACTATGAGTTTCTTTAGATAATACGATATCATGAGGTATTCCTTCGGGCAACTTTGCACTCTCGAACGGCACAACTCCATCGCCAGGAACAGGTACTCGCTGATAGTAGAGAATTTTCAATTTTCCATCGCTTGATCTCTCAACGGGATACTTTCCGGTTGCAAAATGCTCGCCGCTCACAACGGTACAGATAGGAGGGTACTTAAAGTTGGGTCCTTTGTATTTTAAGCCCTCGCGGAATTTCTTGGCCGTCTCCAAGGATCGCTTCAAGTACGCAATTCTCTCTTCCTTGGTTCCCAATTGCAAATGTCTGGAAGTTTCCTCGTGGATAACGTCAGTCCAGTCGCTGTTCAACCACGCCTCAACATCATAGTGATCAATGTCTAGCTCTTCGTTGGTGATCGAGTCGACAAAAGGTGCCGTTGGAGGTAGAAATCCATAGGCCGTCCTTAAAGAGAATACAGTAGCCTTGTCTTGCAGTCTTTTATTAAAAAGTACAGGTGCCCCGTATTTTAATTCCCAGAAAATACCAGCTGCGCCGTGGAATGGAGTGCCAGCGAATATACATCCAGCAAAAAGATGAGGGTGGCGATGCAGTGTCGTCAGCGTGATTAAGCCGCCGTTGGAGTGTGCTATGACGTAGATAGGTTGGTTTCCGTTACTTTTGTAGATGTCGGTCAGATATTCGGCAAACTTTTCCACCGATGCGTCGTTTTCTCGCCTCCAGTCGTATGCAAACGTATGCAATGTGAAACTTTTTTCGTCGTTGGATAACTTTTTGCTATTTTGGAGTGCTTTCAGATGCGTTACTATAGCATCGTAGAATTTGTAATGGGCTATCTTCCTCATTATTTTGCCTGGTACTATTCTATCTTCTTCGTTACCGGTAATGTGAAGCGGAAGGTCGATAGTCTCTTTCGAGTATGGATTGAGCGGAGTGTGGAGATTGACCCATACAGTACGCTTGGAAACGGTATTGTATAATTTTGATCCCTTGTAGCCGTGGATTAAGACCACATCCCCTTTGAGAGAAGAGAAGCCAGGAATGTCGACCGGACGTTTACTACAGTAACTGCTCATGATTGAGGACGAATTTGTAAAAAGAAAATAAAAAAAAAGATGTATATCAATTGAAATTGATTATGTAAACGCAAGAGTGCGGTTGTTGATTAGTGTCTATTTGATAGCGAAAAGATATAACTCCTGGAAATCTCATACATACCATTATGAATGTCTCAAACGATGTAACAGTGTACAATTAAGTTTTCTTATTGACAAGCAAAGGGTTTACCATTTGCAGTCATTGATGTGTTTGTGTGTTACGTACGAATTCCTTTCAAAATGTTATTGGTAACATCTTTGTGTTCTTTTATTGGTAATTCTTGCGAACTGTATGAGAAATATCAAAATGTTCGTTTTTTCAGATTTCACACCTTTCCGAATAAATACTATTTCGGACACCATTCACGTGCTATGTAATTTTTCGATTTCTGGGGCGCATGACGCCGTGATGACGTTTCTTTGGCAAGTTTCGCAGAGATGACGCAGAAATGACACTATATCATGAATTTGACTAACTGTATAGCAATAGATCGATAGAACGAAAGAACATATAAAATGTCGGACAGGTCAAACTCTCTCGCTAGTCAACTGGACAAACATTTGATTGTCAGAAAAGAGCAATGACACTTCGATTCATCCGCAATCCCATTTACATTACCAGACGTGCACTCCTAAGTAACACACAGTTACATCCCATTTCATTACCCATCAGTTACACTCGCACATCCATTGTCCGTCTTCGATCCACCAATGCACACACACACTCAAGTCCACAAGATAAAGGACCGCATGATGAAGCACCATTCTCTACAGGTCCCACGCGGGAGAAACCTCATAGTGAAGGACATGCAGTAAACAAAGCAAAAGAAGTTTTAACATCAGAAGACATCGTCTCGAAACCTGACAAGATAAAAGAGGCTGGTGAAAAAGTAAAGGCCGAGACACGAGCAGACGTCGAATATGGAAAAGAAAAGATGGATAAGTTGAAGAAGAAGACAGAAGAAAAGGGAAGATCGGCGATGGAAACGGGCGAGTCAATTAAAGAAAAAGGAAAGGATATGATGCACAAGACGAAAGAAAAGGTGGAAGAGAAGGCGCATCAAGCGAAAGAAGCCGTCAAACATGCAGTTGATTCTGGGGAAAAGATGGCGGAGCATGTTGGGGATAAAGTTAACGACTCGGTTGCAGGGGCGACTGAGAAGATGTATAATGCAAAGGAGACTGTAGTTGAGAAGGCTCGACATGCTAAAGAATCTATGAAAGATAAGGCCGAGTCGATAAAAGAATCAGGAAAAGAGTCTTTACAATCTGCAAGTTCTAAAGTTGACGAGGCTAAATCATCTGCGAAAGAAACTGTCGATACGGGAAAATCTACCCTTGCCTCATCCGCTGAACCGGACCACCCATTCCCATCTCCATCGGAAGCAGCCGCATCAGCGATAGAGACTGGGCAGAATCTATTGCACAATGTAAAGGAAAAGGTCGTTGGCACGTTTTCGAAAATGATGAACCCCGAGGCTTCTGATACGCAGTCTGAGGCTGCAGCGAAAGGGATGAAAGCACGGGCGGAGAGTACAAATGAAAAACCAAAGAATGCAGACGAAAAGGCAGCTGATGCACGAAAGGATTTGAACGCTGATATCGTAAGTCGGGTATCTGAATTTCCGTAGAAGCCTTGTATATGCCATATTTACATTGTACTAAAAAAACCAACCATGTATACAACTAGGGAATGCAGGATCAAGTCGGAAGTCTGGGCATACAGCCTGAATCGGAATCTGCTACGCCTCCGAATAGAAATCCCCCGACTTCATCCGCACATGATGCTGAAAAGCACAAACGTGCCGAGAAGAATCATACACGGGCGAATATTACTACACCCGAAGACCGTGGGCCGTTGAAGGAAACCAAGGAGGCGATTTCTCCGCGAAATTCAGTGTGAATAGTTTGTTTGTAAGATAAAATTGGTTAGTGGAGGAAAATACCAAATAATAATAATAATAAAACAAAACGTTATGACACAATTTACTACTTTTGTTAATAAACGTCGCATATTAAAGCTTGTGCATTGTTAAACTCGTTCTAGCATTTTTTATTATAAGAATCTTCTTCTGAACATTTGCTTTTATCTAACTTTTCCATAACTTTGTTTGGGGTTGGCATACAAACCAGTTTTTTACAACTGTGGCTGGTAAGTATTCCAATCCTTCGTTATAAAATAAACTATACTGAAAAAATATATTCCCATAGAAAGTCACGAATGGAATCTATGCCTTCAAGCATGTTTTCTTCCATGGACATGTTGAATAAATCGTAAAGAAAGTGTTGTGCTTGTAATCGGTCTAAAATACGCTCTACGTAGCGGCGATATTTTTAAGTCTTATCTCTAACTCGTCGTCATAAAGGCTAATGTAGTTGCAATAGTTCTCCGGTTTAAGGAATCCTTCTTTGGTGGTGGCAACTGATAATTTTCTTCGTTTTGTTTGGATAAGCGATGACAGACCCATATCGAAGATTATTCACTTAGATGTCATATTCAGAAGAAATGTAACATATTTTTGATAAAATGTGCGTATGAACGTCTCGTAATAAGAATGACATATTTATTAACACGATTCTGCTTAATTCCTCTAGAGAAAAAGAGAGGGTGAGCTAGATACGGGAAACCCCAATTGTAGGTTAACTCGCTTATGCATATATTAAGATTATTGTGAATGTTGCGCAAAGAAAACGGTATGAATGTGATCGCATATACATGTTAATGTAGCATAATGATAGCTTAGACATTCACAATGTAACATAATAACATAATAATAACGTAAGAAGGCATAGTAATCAAAGAGTGACTATGAAACATTTTCATGATGAGGATTTAACTTCTCACGTATAAAGATTGCCAAATCCTTCAACTCGGCGTTACTCTAAAGGAATCAATAATGATAACAATAATATAAATTGTTAGATAATATTAAAATCACGTGATAAGATATGTATCATCTTACCCTGCTAGCCAATCCCTTTCGGCTTTCTTCCTGGTACGATTCATTGATGGAGGGGTTCTCTGCTTCTGCCAAATCGTGCACAGCAGAAACATACCTGTCGAAATAAATTAGGTCCGCATCGGTGAGGCACTCGGCACATTCTTCTGGTTCTGCCGGTGGTTTTTGTCCTACGATCATAACAACATCATGTCCTAAGAATTCCGGGTTCGGGGGAACTGTCATCGGTTTCCTACCGGGTTTTTTCCGGACCTTCAACGGGGAGATGCGCTTATGTTCTGGATGCGTGTTAGAAGGCTTCATTGTGCGTGTAAGATTGAGTTCGTGTGTGGGTTAATATTAATGCGTGTAAGATTGAGTTCGTGTGTGGGTTAATGCGTGTAAGATTGAGTTCGTGTGTGGGTTAATGCGTGTAAGTTCGTGTGGGTTAATGCGTGTAAGATTGAGTTCGTGTGTGGGTTAATGCGTGTAAGATTGAGTTCGTGTGGGTTAATGCGTGTAAGATTGAGTTCGTGTGTGGGTTAATGCGTGTAAGATTGAGTTCGTGACTTTGCATTTACGGTTGGGTGAGCAAATCCAAAGAGTAGAAAGAGTTCACCTCTTCATTTATAAGTTTACGATAGGTTGATGTGTAACACGTTATTTATAGATTAGACGACGTGAAGGGCGTTATTTTCGTACAGCATTCTCTTATCACAGTTATTATTGTTTATATTGCTTCCCCCTTGTCCGCCATGTCAACAGAATGGAATCAATTGTGATAAGAGAACAACAACCAAATTGTGCGAGGTGAAACCTTGACGAAAGATGCCATTGCGGCAAATCCAGTTTGAAATATAAAGGGAGATTTCCTTGTCCCATCAACATTCCATGGCTATTAATAGGGCGTTTTAATGTGACCAGCAACTAATCAAACGAGATTTATTTTTATTTTTATGTTTATTTTAAGGTTTACATACATAACCAATAAAATTAAACTTCGTGGACATTTCCTGTTGATAGAAGAAGCGGCGTAAATAGCGTATAGTGCTTATATGTTCGATAAGCCTATCAATTCAACCAACCAATAGCCTAAAGAGCGCATTGTCATATACATTGATTGATTGTCTATTTTCTCTGCCGAGCATTTCACGTGTATGTTGGAAACAATGCAAATAGCATGTAATTAAAGCTGTAATAACAATGCTTCTTAATAGACTTGTGAATCACAATCGCTTTCAATAGAAGCCTAAAGGAACATTTACAATGATCATTATTTAAATGTATTGTATCGTGTGTATTGTTATTCTATTCCATTATTACGGATCTCGGGCATTACCGTTGTAACACCTTTAATCCTTAAAGTCGGGGTTGATAAGTGCTTACAAATCGGGAGGCAAAGCACATGTGAAGGCCCGTAGATAAGTACAGTTGTATGAGTATTTGTACTAATGCTAAATATAACAACCGGAAAAGGGGGGATGCAGTATTCCATGCACACACAATAACAACGAGTCAGAGTGGGTGATTTTTTTCTATTCATCTTTACGAACCTTCCCTTGTCTAACACTATCGCAATCAACAAAATAACATAAATAAACTCGTATGGGCACGCTATCACTAATAGACTACTTGAGACATGCATCTCTCATTAGTCTCCTTGTCAACGAATGATAACAAGTGAATTTATTAGCAATAGTAACAGTAGTTGTGGAGCATAGTCGTGGTTCTCGTGATCTAATTTATATCGTGTTACCTGTTGTGCTGCTATTATATTGTTTTGTCTTATTGACTTGTTTGTTGTTGTTTATAATAATCATTATTACTATATGTACAGTACATCCCCTTGTGTCAGTATTCAATGCACACGCACGCGCAAACCGGGGATGATAATCTTTTGATTTCAGCCACTAACCAATAATAAATCCCATCCGCCATCGATTCATTTCAATAATGAACAATAATGTTATCTTGCTCGTAGGCGTAAAGGGTCAGCTTTGCCATGTGATGGAGCAAGGGATGTAAACATTTGATATCCAGACAATATTTCTTTATTTTAAGAAACCAAAGCTTTGTTCACACGAAAACCCTCGAGCGACATGCAAACATAGAACAAGAAGTTTATTATAGTAGTAAACTTCCTATTTGTTACAGTATATATTTGTTCATAGTGTGTGTGACGTCTTGCACCCGGTAGACACTTTCAATTATTCCCACACATTTTCTTTATTTAGTTAAGGGCTTTGCTTTGTTATTGTGTTCCCCAAGATAAGCATGCGGACGAATTAGGCAAGTGTTCCCCCGCTTGCTTAAATTGGAAATCCCCATGTTATCTATGTCTATTTTACTTTAACTTTGACATTTTATTATTTTCAATTATCAAGAGAATTTGTCTAAACAGAACGAAAGAAAAAGAAATGCCACAAGTTAGTTAGTTATTCCAGCATCAGTTACAATAATCATAGAGGCTGTAATTTGGCAAAGACAGAGTGTCGCTATCTCATTTAAACGATAAACCAAGAATGTGCAGAGCACCACATGTACCACAATTGAACGTTTATCCGTATCTAAATATGGGTAACAGTTACAATTAGCTCCTCTCCTTGCCTCCCCTTGGGCGCAACCGCAGATAAAGGGAACATGTAACTTTAAATTATTTTTACTTTTCGTCAGATTATCATTTTTACCAATAATTAACCGAACCGGAGGCCATGCTTCTGCTCTGAGAGCTGCTATTAGTTTTTGTTACAATGCAAACTAGCTGACAGGTCTACTTCCATTTGGCAATTTAAAATATAAACATAAAGATAGTTTTTATATGAACAACTGATACAGTACAATTAAAAGGGGCCAGCGATTCTTTGAATAAACATATATTCGGCAATGAATTATATTATTGTTTATATTACGTTTCTAAATTTAGATTTTAATCATTCGATGCGTTAGACTTTGGTTGTTTGTTTATTAGTGTAAAACAGAAGATTAGAACCAAATAGAATGTTGTAGAAGGCGAATGGCAAGGTGATATCGATCACTACAGTGTTGCCTACATTATCACCGTTGTACTATAGAAATATGTGTAATATGTAAACAATGTATCATTATACACAATTATTTGCATTTCTTACTATTTGTCTTGTTAGTAGATGCGTCATAAAGCAAGTATTATATCCTGAATTATTTATCACAGTGGTGCTCTTCGTTCTTGTCAAAGTCACTGAAACAAGCATCACACTAGCTCACAGCATCCAAGTAATAAGATGTCACCAGTAGGCAATCTTCTTTAGACACAAGTCGAAATTACTGTATAAATAATATTGTAAATACAAGTTGTCAATTGATTTTTTCAGTCTGTGTCGATATCTGTTACTTACAGTTGAACTTGATCTAAATTGGATATTTGTAGGCCTCCAGCATAGTGCTGCTTCCCCAAATACCAGACTCATTCTTCACTTCGATATTGATTTCCATGTATTTGTGTTTGGAGCCTGCGAATCAGGTGGTCGTTCTACGGGACGATGCTGATGTAAAGGCGACTTGTGAAGATATTAATATCAAACATTCAATGTTCCAAGGACGTCCAGTTGCAATAGGTGAACTAGCAATATCTGAAGCAGAGTTTCAGATTGGAAGGGTTGTCTGGATCAACTGGTATATTCTTTGTCAAACCCTAATAATACGATAATATAAAGTAAGACTACGTTATTGTCAATAATCAAGGAATATTGACCTTGGAATTTAGGTGTTTCAATCGAGCCGCTCATGATATCACAAGGTCACTTTGTCGCGTACAAATTAGTTTATATCATTCAGACAAAATTGAACTTCCGTCGTAAGTGTGGTAAATAACAGTTTATCAATTGATGCAAAGATGTATTGATCAGTAGACGATTTAGTGCTCTCTCCCCACGTAATACAATTAATAACTTGTATTAATAGAATAATGATCATTGATATAGCCCATGTCTCTTCAACATTAAAAGTATAATTACATTTCCTGAACATTTCGTTTATCTTGAGGAACATTTGTTACAATTTAAGATTTATTATTTCCCCCTCACGTCATTAATCTTTAATTTTTTCTCTTACATTTAAATTAAAAAATGTTCCATTCTTTTCCAATGATCATTACATCAATCTTGACGCATATATGCTTCTGTTTCAAATAACTACAACATACGCAAAACAATAGACATCAGTTCTCATCTACATTAGCATTGAAGTAACAATTATTCAAAACAAACCACTATATTTACACAATAAGAACGACACTTTCTACAAACTTAAAGAGTTGGAAATGTGACTTGTAAGCTCAATGCCGTCTTTTGGATCTGTGGTCATCATCATCTCGAGAAGTCCCACTTCGCTTTCTTGACCTTTGACAGAACACAGTTGTCAATTAAAAAAAAAAAAAAAAGGTAACGCAGACCAACGTAATAACACAATAACTTTTTTATAATTACCTATCATCATCTCTCGATCGCGAAGGATACTATAATTTTAAATTGAGTATGACATCTTTCATCCAATTCTGTGTATACTCTCGAATTTCAAACTTACCCGACTCTCCCGATCTCTAGACTCCCGACTGTCATATCCATGTCTCTCGCTGCCTCGACTTTCTCGATCATTTCGTTCTCTTTCTTCTTCCCTCTCTGACCCAGATCTATCTATCGAAGCATCACGGCCACTGCGTAGATGATGACTTCCATCAGGTGGTCCACCAGTCCGGAATGGCGGTCGCATTCTGTGAGAGAACGGCGCATCTGGTGGTTGATTTTCCCAATCGTGATATTCACCACGTTGGCCCCCGGGACCGTGCATTGGACCGGTTGGAGGCCGGTTGGGGAACGAGCCTGGGCGGAACTGTGGACCACTGCGAGTTTCCATATCCCAAGCTGTAATATTCGTGATGCAAATAGATGAAGAATATAATGAATACATTACATAGATAGTTTGTCCCGTATTTTACATTTCATCACTTACATGGCTGATCTTCCATCGAGAAGAAAGGTCTACAAATAACAAGATGAAAACGTCAATGCCATCAACAGTCATCACATCTACATAAACAGCAGTTCCTCATCCACCAGACACCTTACCTCTCCTCCATTTGCATTCCTCGACCACGCCCAACCATCCCTCCTTGCATGGGTCCAGGCATACCACCGGGCATACCAGGTGGCATATTTCTAGGCATATTAGGCACTCCAGGCATTCCTCCAGGCATCGGGCCAGGCATGCCCGGTGGCATTCTGCCTGGCATTCCTACTGGCATACCTGGACGCATCATCCCGCGTAAAGGTTGGCCACCACGGAATGTTGGATCAAAGCCCATTGGACCTGTTGGAGGCATATCCGGATTGCCCATAAAGTAAGGTGGCGGAGCGCCCATAGGAGCACCCATTGGGCCACTCATTTCCTACAAACAATTTTGTAAACATTAAGATTTACGTTAAGCAGTAAGAGATAATAATTATTACGAAAGCAATGAAAAAAGACTAGAAGTTAGAAATACAAACTGGTGCAAACATGTTCATTCCCATCGGCGGGTGACCTGATTTCGTTAAAATATATGCCCATATTTAGATTTATATACAATCAGTTGTTTTCGCAGTATGCTTATAATTTTTCTGACCTGCAAAGTTTTGTGGAAAATCGCTATCTTCTATTGTATATTCATCCGTCTGTGATCCTTCCAAGTTTGGCGGCGGACTGTATGAGGCATACATTAAATCTATCGTTAGAAATGCGAATCTAGCTGGTAGTGATAATTTCTGTTTAAGGTCTTACATTGGTTCCATCTCTTCAAGTGCAGCTTCTCTCTCGCTCGATACCACTTGAATGACTGAATCATCTTGATCTCGATTTCGTCGGCCTGATTACATTTATAGAAAAAGAGGGGGGCTCTAGTAAAGAACAGAGAGCTTTTACCCATTATATGAAACTGAATTTTTGAACTCACCTCGACGTTGTGATGAGAATCGCGAGTGATCGCCACCATGCGAGGGTTGACTTATCGATTGTAGCTCGGGTGGTAGATCCGGTATGTCTGGTTTAGATTCATAGACCTTTTTTAAAGAAAAGACAATCACAGCATACGCTCATATGACCAAATGCATAACTCTCATGTTGAGCTTTTTCACAAAAATGGCCTTACATTGATTCTTTTTCGTAAATGCTGTTCTTCGCGCATCTGCTTCTGTTTTGCACAGTAGGCTCGCCACGTATGTTCATTGAATCCGTAATTAAAATAATCCGTGATATCAGCACCTGGAATAACAACCAACCCCCACCCATTTCCATTAGTTACTGGCGTATACACCAATAGAAACCATTCTATATTTTCACATACCAGGCTTGCGCCACGGTTTATCTTCAAACGAATCGAGATCGACATCATAGACACTAGTCCCATCGATAGTTCCAACAGCATTGAGATCTATTCCAGGTGTCCGAGTCGCTCCTGTTTGTTGACCACCGTCTAAAAAAGCATACGGCGTTAGATCGACAAAACTGCTTTGTGGCGATACCGACTGTTCATTACTGCATACGTTTTTCTCACCGTGTCTCTGATTTCCGACCCCTTTATTAAGTTGATTAGGTTTAATATTGACAAGCGCGTTTGATCTAGACGAAGAGTCACGATTGCAAGAAGAGTTTATGCATCATTAGAAAGAGCACAAGGACAGATCACGAACATGGGTTCTCTGTTGAAATTTTTGCTTTTATTTATTAGAATTAAATGGTACCTATTACTATTATCCATCGATTTCGTTGGCGTTGAATTCATTATAATCTCTATATCCTGTCCAAATAAAAAAGAAGTAGTCTCAAACACAAGGAACCAGAAATTTGTACATTGAATCAGCCTTTTAATTCTATAAAAAGGTTTATTTACGGAATCACTATCTTCCTCTTCTTCCTCCTCTTCCTCCTCAGCATCCTCTTTATCCTCTTCAATACTTGTTTTCTGTTCATCTTCGTCTGCTGATTCCGCTTGTTCTTCTCTATAACTGCCTGCATTCAGTGGGAGTGCTTCCTTTGTCTCTTCTATTTCGTCGGTCAGTTCCACCTGTGGAAGTTTCTCTGCACTACTAGGTAGGTTATCTTCCAGAGGTATTATGTCTTCAACCTGATCAATTTGATTCAAATTATTTTCGTCTTTGAATTCGGATCCATATATGTCATCATCGGTCCCTTTCTCAATTACGATTTCTTCTTTGGTATCCGGTTGCGGAGGGGCGGAAGGTTCTTCGGTGCCGTAGAGATATTCATCCTCGTCGTCAAAATCGGTGGTTGTTTTGCCTTCTGACATTTTTGTCAAGCCTGAAATCCAAATTCTCGGCTTTAATAATTTTTGGCGAATGATCATGGTAACACGAGTGCCATAAACGGTATAGGGTATGCGCGCGTAAGCGCAAGAAGCAACTTGTAATAGTTATTGCGTAAAAAATAGTCTTGTAACAGTTATCAGAACAACATGTACGCGGCACAGTCAAAGCTCGCAAACCCTCAAGCGACGTTTTTCGCCCCTTTTCTATCGGTTTTACGAAATATCGACTTTTGCATAAATTTCAAAAACCGACATAGGGGCGCAGTATCGGTTATTGGGGAAACAATTACATATCCACCACAGAATTTGCTATGTGCCAACAGTAATAATGATATCAATTTAATCTATCTGTTTGATAGCGCGAAACTTCTACTTTCAATAAATGCAGAACAAACTTTGCTATTGGTATATCAGTATTTGTTTATCGAGCTTCAATTCCTATATATAAATCACATAATGTCGGCTTTTCGAGTAAAATTTTATTATGTGTTTTGTAAATTGGAAAAGTTATCAGCTTTGGCGATAATATTTACAATACAATATATAATGGGTATTAGATATTTATATATGAGTGGTCTTTTCGTTACAAGGTACATCTGTTGAACGTGATCTTCGTCTGTATGATGAAACAGCAATGTTATTAATTCCCTAATTACAATATATTAACGAAATTAATAGGCCATCAAGAGTAGCGATTAGATTTGAAGTGTAGTAATTCTTATTAATTGTTATATATTTATAGTTATTACGAATAGTATAAAGGCCGATGGAGGATATATCCATTGCCTAGAGACACAATCCCGCGAACAAGTGTACTACGAAACACGAATCATGAAAGATAATTATAATAGTCAATGTAATATCATTCGTCTAGCAAAAAGGAAAATATTCTCTAAAGATATAATATAAAGTAATATAATAAAGTTGGCTAAGTCGGTGGCCTCATCACTAAGCATCTACTGCATAGATTAATCCAAGCTTAATTTGTATGTGCTACTGCTCTTACTCCAGTAGTTGTTCGATTAAGACTAACCTGACCAGTTGAGTCAGGCAAACTATCATGTCATGCAGTGTTTTGCCAACTTTCAATCCATCTCCAAGTCTTTTGGTGCAATTGACATGGATGAACTTCTTTGCTATATGACCTTTTAGCCAGTAAATTGAGGCAGTCTTTTCTTGTGGAATAGTGGACAGCACAGCCAAAATTGATCAATCAGTATTTGCTATTGATGTCTACAATGTTGAGTGGGCAGAACTTTAATTTGTATAATAGTAAAGTTTCTTTGGGGAAAAATTGGGTATTGTGGAGTAGTTGGCATTAATTGAGCAATGGTTGTGTATTGAGCTAATCTCTTTGGGTGTCATTCCAGCTACAGTACATTCTTCCAATAGATTGTGATATAAGAAAGCTAAATAACAATCCATGTTATAAACTTACTATCAACTTTGTTCGAAATTGTGACAAAAAAAACCAACAAAAAATCACCTGCGTACACAAGTTCCGTCACGAAACGTCCTTGAATTCACTGTCTCAGTAGTTTGATAAATAGATGTCAATAGACAAGACGACGAGAGTGTTATGGCAATAGAAAAGGTCTTCCATCCTCGAGTCATCATAACCATTATCTAGAAACAGATTCGCCGGAGATGGTGGTTATATGGGTTCGATGTGAGAGGATGATGGAGTTGCAAAGAAAAAACGTAGAAGTGTTACTTTTTAAAGCAGAAATTTAAATCTATCCACACGTTTGGAGGTGGACATGGATTGGGAATGGGGTGTATCCGTTGTGAAAGCGTCGGCTTTTGAAACCACACGTCAAGGTCAGGTCAAAGTTGGGCGCCTTGAACGATGTTGTAACATGAATGTTCTAAAAGATTTTTGTTTCTTGTAATCTTCTTACTCTTGGAAGGCCTTCAACTCTGCCTCCGCCTTGCCGACAAGTCTTCTGCTTGTCTCATATTGTTCAAGTTCGACGTGAGTCGCCCGTGTTGTGTGCTTTTTTGTAAGTGGAGATGTTTAAGACCTTTCACGCTATTGTTGTGCGTAAAAAAAGAATAGCAATAGTGATTATGATAGTAAATTAAATTTAACCTAATTTATAATTTCCGTGACATTAGTCACCTGATTACGATTAAAGATCTCTCTTGTAAATTCTCCGATTGGACGAAAATATCAAAGAAAAGTTCTACGCCTCAGTGACACATTTTTTGATGGCTTTCGTAAGATCACTATTGCAACAGACCAAGCAAACACAAATATCTTTACGAACTGCATTAACTGTATCAAGTGGGAATAATATAAACCATTGTCATTTAATACTGAGAAGGAGAGTAATAGGAGGAGGAAAAAATATTGAATGGGTTTCGGGGAGGGGCTTGAGGCTTTATTCGACCGAAAAGAGTGAAGAGACCGGCAGGCTCGAAGATAATGTTGGTAGTGTCAATAAAAATGATGAGATAATTAATGGGAATACAATAAAGGGGGAGATGCTCGAGAAAGCGGAGGCGCATACAACAGCGCCTAATGATGCATTCAACAACTCTAAAGAATCAGCGGCTGATTTACAACAGGCTTCGTTAAATAAACGGGAATCTTCTGATCCCAAATCCGAATCACAAACACCTTTGGAAGAACCCTCCACGTCGTCATCATCTTCTTCCTCTTCCGACTTTTTTCAGCCGAACCCATCTCCTAGACCCAAATCGAGAAAAGTCTATCAACTACCTCGTCAGAACTTTGTCCATCCCTTTCCAATAGCCCTAATACTTCTCTCCACTGGGTTAACGGCACTGGGCATATATCAATTCTATACTTCGAACGTGAATAAATATCCTGAAAATGTTCGCGCTCATTTACGCAAAGCTTTATTCTACCAACATTACGGTGACGACTTGACCACTGCTGTCAAATATTACAAACTGGCATTGACTGAAGCATTAAACGACTCTTCATTGCCAAACAATTCTCCTGAAGTCACAGGCATTATGATTCAACTAGGCAGCGTCTACGAAGATCTTGATAAAACAAGAGATGCGATCGATGTGTATTCGATGGCATACGACGCTATAGTAACACGAAACAATGGCAATGTTCTGGCAAAGTTGGAAGGAGATAATCGATTGCGTTCTATAGGATTAGCGCAGAGGTTGGGCGATTTGCATCATAATTTGAAGCAGGACGATCAGGCAGAGAAGTATTATGTATGGTCTGTAGAACAACTACTGGGAGCGACCATCATGGAACGGCAAGCAAGAGGAGAGGATGCGGGGAAGGGAGGATGGTTTTTTGGAAAGAAATTAGATATTGATCCATTACCTAGCTGGTTGATAGCTACGGATTTGGGTGCGTCTTTGGAGGCCTTGGCTGCTTTTTATTCGTCGAGGCATAAGTATGCGTAAGTCATTCTTAAAATAGATCAAGTTTGTGATCGCATGCGGAGTTACTTGCTGAATCAATGATATGCGCATTGATTCAATCGGTCTGTCTGTTGTGGCGGTGGGAAGGTTTCTAAATAGGTCTGATAGATTAAGTAATATTAACTAATGTTTTCTCCTTTGTTCTTTCCGCTCGTATTGTGATAATAGATATGCGTTACCGCTATATCTTCGTGCGCTATCTCTGCTCAACCCGCCTGAGACATCATGTCACTCTGTAGTTCTCATGAATAACATATCAGAAGTATTTACGGGTATGGGAAATTATCAAGAGGCAAGAGGATGGGCGGAGAGGGGGTTAAAGCTTGTTGAAAAGTTTCAGCGTAAGCGCAAGAGTAACCAAGAATGCGAAGAAAGTTATGGCGTACTATTATTTAATTTGGGGATGATCTCTGAGGTAAGAGTCTGCGAATCTGTGTCGGCCAAAACGACCGATAGAGCACGCAATTATGACAATGGAAAATATGGTCGGATAATGTAAAAACTAATTTAAAATATATTTCGTTTATTTTTAGATCACAGGTAATTTGACCTCTGCTGAGAATTTCTATGAGAGGTCAAGAACACATGCAAAGAAAATTGGCTTTACAGATTGTGTCTCTGAAGCTGATAATGCATTACAAAGAATTATGACTAATAATAAGGAGGAACTTAGATCTGTTTGAATCAGTGGGGAATGATAGAGTCTTATTTAATTAGAAATCGATTTAAATAGAGGCGTGAATGGGGCGCAGTAATTATCACTGTCACGTGCAAATGTTATTTCCAACATTCTGATTTGAAACACCACAAATAATTTGAAAATAAAGCTGTTAAAAACGCTGTGAATAGTCTAGCACTCCCTTCAATATGGTATCGGAATACCGAATTACCACCTCTCAATCTCTAGTTCATAGCAGTGGAATGGGACAGGTGAACGACACTGCCGACAATAATAAATTTTGTTACTGCGGAGTTGCAGCAAGTCTACGAAGAGTCACTGCTGATACATGTAATAAGGGACGTTTATTTTGGGGCTGTCATAAGATTGGAACAGATTTTGACAATAGATGTAAATTCTTCGAATGGGCTAAAGAGAACATTATAGAAGAGTCACCCATTTCTCCTCCTAAAGCGCCTAAATCTCTTGAAGGACGTAAGAGAGCAGTAGACGAGGATGAAGCGGAAGAAGGGGGAGCAAGAGAGTGGGGGGAAGAGGTACTAATAATTATACCACTTTGCTCCTACTCTACTCTAAAGCAGCTAACAATGAATTATTAAACTTTTCCAAGGCTTGCGTTGCTGCTGAAACACTCAGCCCTCTACCGAAAAGTCGTAGAATCACCGCTCCCACCGAACTAGTCGATCTTACAACTCCACCCCGTACACCTCAAATCACGTCTTCTTCAGACCAACGTACTACGCTCTCTCTTACCTATCATTCCCAGACGTCATTCAACCCTCCCGTAGCATCGACCTCATCAGTCCCAACCGATCTTCTAGCTCAACTACAAGAGGCTCTCCGTCAACGAGAATTACTTGCTGCTCGATATCGCAAGGAGCGTGACGAAGCGCGCGAACGGCTGCAGGAATTAAAGTTGAGATCCGAACAGTCGATGAGAGAATCCGAGTTAGTGCAACGAGAGAACGGCATCTTACGGAGAGAGCTTGACGTACGGCAGAGAGAGAATTCGCTTTTGGAGAGACGATTGTCGGTGATTCGCACAGATAAGAGATCGAACCAAAGGACGAGAATATGATTTTTAACTAATGTCACGTAATAAGATAATGAAGGTAGTTATCGGATTGATGTAAATATTGCGTATTTCCCTAACTGTGTATGGGATCGCAATTGTAAATTCTTGCTCCAATTAATAAACCCGCTGAACAAGTATAAGCAATCTTTGATTCAGACATTCTATTAACCATCGATTACGAAATTAATGTGAGACACTACAGCGATTTAAACGATTCATCTCTATCGACACAAACAATATGTCTACTCTATTGATTATAGCATAATTAGATCTATGAAATCAAACCCAATCAAGTCTATTGTAATTTTCTTTTCCCAACCTTCGTCTACAAGTCGCGTTTAGAAAACTACAACTCAAAAGTACATATAATAATATGCATACACCGATAAAAGACTAAGGACAGCGGGAGGTAATCGTAATTGAGCGACGAAATAAGTCCATAGTGTGGACAATGGAGGACATCGTCGCATTACTCCGAGGTAAGGAGCCTTTTGAAGTAGATAAACGACGTAGCAACCACAAAAAATCGATCCTAGAAACATTCCAAATTGTACTAATGGACGGTGTGAATATTTGTTGGTAAAATAGACAAAAACCCAGAGAACTGGATGTAAGGTAAAGAAGGAGAAAAGATCTTAATTAGACACTACGAAAGTAACATGCTGAATAGGTACTTTCAATACTTCACACTTACTAGGAGACATTTTTGCAACTCTAATAAAGAATGGCATAAACTCAACATCTTGGTTATACTGCCTGTGCACCATAATGTCCATAACGCAATAAACTGAACAGAGTGGAATGGTGTACAGAAATGCCAAAAACGTCCAGCCATAATACTCGTCTTCGACGCCTGTTTGTTCAAGTTCGACTTTTTCAAAGTTTTTCAGTAATCCAGTTTCTTTGATCAGTCTGATCTTCTCTTCTTCTGGAATGTCGTCTACTGGATCTTCCTTCTTTGCGTTTTTACGTGCTCGGGAAGCTGATTCAGCCATGGTTGTAGAGTATGCGGAAGAGAACAGGTATGACGGAATTTGATCGAATATCAGGAAATGACGTCACTGAAGAGGAAGGCATTATTAAAATAAATTAATCGAGGTGCCATATAATTAATGCTAAAAAGAAAGTATTCGCTTTAATAATAAATTCTGATGTAAATAATTAGGCTGAAATAAATTGTATTATTGCTAAACCTTTGTGAATAAATAGAAGACGAGTGATTATGATGTCATGTTCAGCAGTTTAAACTTTCTGCGCGGTATTGGTGTACACAACTATTGAGATTCTAAACACGTTCACAGCATGACAGTATTCGTTGTGCCACACAAAATAATATTGCAGACATCATTTAGAATATTTAGTAAGTAGTATAAGACTAGCACTAATGAACATATGGGGAGTCGATCTGAGAAAGACGTATCCCAATTGCTCACATGTTACGTCTTCTTCTCTGCTTGCTAACTTGGGCACGACAGTGACTTACGAGTTTGAAGTCCAACGAAGATATGCAAATATGCATTTCAGTATAAGACGGCGGGTAGGTTTACAGAGATCCCTACGTTTCAATTTTATTCATCACTCATTGCATTAATGTACTAGAGTCAGCAACCGATGTATCTGAGACGAAGCCGGACCAAAGCATTGAGTGCAGTTATCCTCCATAACTATCTTTTCTATAAGTACGCTCTTACGCCAATTTGGAAATCGTGGAAATAGAAAATGCCTCCATAGTCACGGCCTCTTTATCATTAAATGACTAGAGTGACATTCTTATTACAAGTAGAATGAGTACCTTTCTCTAGATTACCAACCAACGCGGATAGGAATTACTCAACGTGCCCACAATATGGGATCAAACCAAAGAGTAGATATGACGTGCATGTTATGAGAATGCTAGTATTAATGGACAATTGAGGCTAGCGAATCGTTTGCCACCATTGAGCACGCACCAATGAAGGGATGACTGCATCCACGTTCACACAATTTTGATTGTCTGTTGGGAAAACAATGACTTTTCTAAGCATGTACTAGAACCGACTACCTTTTTCTTTCCATTATCATTTTTCGGTTAAATTAACTGTACAACATTTGGTAGCCTAGCTATTTTGGGTTTGTATTTAATCCCTGATTCTTTCGTTGAAGTGTATATTTACTAAGGGTACTGATTAATGCAGTATGATCTAAAATCTCTGCTTATCGTTAATTAATGAATTCAACAATCATAATAATAAGGGCTAAATTAACTCTTCTTTTTAATTGATGAATTATTTATTAGCCCATTACCGTTCCCTCAGCCCATATTTATTTAATGCACTTGAATTTATTCTTGTTCTAACTGGCCCCTTAAAATCCAGCAAAGACGTCAATATGCGAGAATACTCATTACTATTACCCCTTACGAGCTTGTATTTAAAGTAGAAGTTCTTTTTATTTCTGTTACTGGTTTCAAGATTCGAATAATAGTGTGGCGTTTGGCATTTCGCCAATTCATCCGATCATGCTATAATTAATTACACGTGATTGGCTGGATTTGGTCCATCAGCTGTTAGTATTAATCATCGGAAATTTGCCAATTTGATAAACCTGGAAGAATGTATAATGTAATAATAACAATAGATCTTATTAAAACGTGATTTTCTGCCAATCAGATGATTTAAAAGCCTGACCCCGGATGACTCATATACAAAAAAAATTGCCTCAGTGCCATTTTATTTATGCTATTGTTTCTCGTTTCCATTGCAGCGCTGAACTTTCGCCGAAAAACTGAATTCGCTTTTCAGTGTCTCCTCCTTAATACATAAAATCATTTTAGGTGAAAAGGTAATATGACAGTAGAGCTAGTGTACATATGTTATTTATTCAATATAGACCATGTATAGCATTAATCCACTTCCCCAAAACACCACTACCCTTATTTATTATTAAATACTTGACCATGCTTTCCTCTTCTCAATAGTGTTGACATTCATCGCATTAAGAGGTAAAATCAAGTATAACCCATACAGTCATATTTGCAGCAGAGTGTTCTTACAATAAAGCATGATAGAAGCAGCTCCGAATTCCTGCACTCAGCTAGAAGCCGAAGGCGAGTCATTCAAGAGATCAATCGACAAATTCATCCTAAAATCAGAACGACGGAAACAACACAGACAGCCTAGTCAACTGCTACATACTAATAACAATCATTCAAACGACAATCAATTATTGTCTACTTCAGATATGGAGAATTTGATAGCAGCTTCAGTCAAATCGACTCCCACTATTCCTTCCGATTCTACAAAGACGTCAGACAATCCATCCATGTATGCGTACGAAAAAATGCTGTTCAATACGGACATTATACGTAGACAAGCGCACAGCAACATCTACAATAACACTAATATGCTGCCCGCTCAACGACCCTCACTGCCCCCGCATTCATACAGCGAGCCCAACTGCCAGTTGAGATACTCCGACTCTGATGCTATCAATAAAGAAAACTTTTGTTCACCATCAAATCATCTGTTTACTCACTCACTTCCCAATCCATCTGTTGCCGTCGAATCATCCACTCCTGGTATGCAACAACAGGCTAGCACGCCGATAGAGCATTCTGATCGTCCTCAACAGCGACAATTGTCAAACCTCGCCCGATTGAAAACTAATTTCTCATCAGAACAATCGCAGACGGTCCAACTGCAAAAACCACAGCACCAAAAAGTGGCATCTGACGAAGATGCATTAGCCACATTACCCAGTCCAGCTACTTCACTAGTAGATTTTCCGACCACTCACCATGTTCGACATATGCGTAAGCAGACATCAACTGAAAATAGCGTACACTATCCGCATCATCTGGCTTCTTCTCTACGCGCGCATTCGTCGCCATTAAGCGAGCAACTTTTTAGCAATAGTAGCAACCAATACAATCATGTCAACAACGATTTGACACACACTGCCGTTGCTAATCGATTGGCTCGTTATAAATTGCCGAGTAATACTGAGTTGATCGGGCGCTTTGCCATAACCAAAGGCAATATTGGAGAAGGATCGTTCTCGCAAGTAAAGTTGGCGCTCGATCTGACAAATGGAGAAGAAGTAGCTATAAAGATGACAGCTACGAAGGGGATGGAAGACAATGACCCCCTAAGAGTGTGCGTGCAACGCGAAATAGAGATTCTGAGATCCATCGATAATGCAACTATAGTCAAACTGATTGACACAATCGACACCCCGACTCACGTCTGCTTGATTATGGAGTATGTTCCAGGTGGAGAGTTATTCGATTATGTGGCCAATTACTATGAACAGACGGATGAAAATGACGCTCGCCGTATATTCGTTCAGCTGTTAAACGCCGTCTCCTACCTTCACAACAATAACATTGTCCATCGAGACCTAAAGTTGGAAAACATTCTTCTCGATCGTAAGACACCATCTCCTGATGGACCGAAAATAAAACTTACCGACTTTGGACTGGCCCGGTTCATAGACCTGGAAAATCCGCATCTGACTACTAGATGTGGATCGGAAGAATATGCAGCGCCAGAGATTGTTATGGCAAAACCATACGACGGGAGACAGACGGATATGTGGGCATTGGGTATTGTGTTGTATGCTTTACTGGTTGGTTATCTGCCATTTAACCTGCAACGGGGGCAGACGAGAGGGCAGTTCTTTGGGAAGATAGCGCGTGCCGACTACAAATTTCCGTCCGAGAAAGAGGCAGGAAGAAGAGGAAATATTAGTCGAGATGCAAAAGATGTAGTGAATAGGTTATTGCAACCTAATCCGCAGAGGAGAGCAACGTTGGAAAATATTAGCCGGCATGCCTGGTTAGAAGGATACGTTGATTTAGAATGAGTATCGACGTGAGCAGGGTAGAGGAAGTTACATTTCTTCGCGAATTATCGTGTGTATATTTGTGCCGTTTTTTAACGGCGGCAGCATTTATTTTTTTTCTTCTCATCTGCCAGTCAAGCTCAAACTCTACTTTCATTCTGTCATAAACGGCAGTTTGTATATGTATTATAGCGAGTTAGCAATCTATCACTGGACATTCTCTCATAGACTATATTCATTTTAGTTGACTAGTTTGATCATATTCACTTACATCGTGACATTGGTGAACCTTTCTTGAAACAAAAAAAGGGGGAGGGAGTCGGCGCTTCGGGTAATAGAATTTATTCATTCTTTGTATTTAGATATTATGTTAGTCTTTCTTAGAAAGTTATTATTCAGTCTATGCTTCTTGTCATATATTGGACATATTAACTGGGGGACAACATACTGTGAATTCGTTATACTATCTTCCAAGATATCTGGTGAGAAACGCAAATGATAAACAGCGCAGTCAATACTTTGTCACATTTAAAACGATGTCCTGTCATTTTAATTTTATAATGTCTTTGTCTTACCAAATCACGTGTATGTGATCCAAATTTCGTAATCACAAAGGTTAGAAGACGCAAAATGTCTATTTGCCTCTTTCACCTTTCACTCCTCTTACCGTATTATACCTTGCCCAACTCATCGCTTGGTTTCACACCAAATAAACATAACCTAAATTCTATCCAAAATGCTCATTAAAGTAAAAGTGAGTAGTATGCAAAGCGTCTAAACATAAAGTCTTTTTAAACTATTGTGCTTAACGCTTGCTTCTTTTTACTGTGCATTTTCTACAGACGCTCACAGGCAAGGAAGTAAGTTCGTCGGGAATGGTTTAGTCGTTTTGTTCCGTAAAGGTTAAATTTGTCGCAATACTCATGAAACCAACTACATATTACTCAGATTGAGATCGATATTGAGCCGAATGATAAGGTTAGTTCTCGTCGTTGAGCTTGCTGTGCGCATGTAGAACATAATCCATCCTACTCACATGGAATTCACGTGTTGTTGCAGATTACACGAATTAAAGAGCGAGTGGAAGAGAAAGAAGGCATTCCTCCTGCTCAACAACGACTCATCTTCGGTGGTAAACAAATGTGAGTATAGATTCGATAAGAGTTTCGTAGAGTTGTACATGTCCCTTGGTTTCAACAGAGAACTTTAGACTGTTGGGAATAATTCAGATCAATTCTATAAATCAGTCTTGACGGAATGTTTTCTTCAGTTGTATACATTCTTGTAAAATTCTAAATCACTAATGTCCCGTATAAATACACACAGGGTTGATGAAAAGACTGCAACCGACTACTGTATAGAAGGTGGCTCTGTTCTACACTTGGTATTAGCCCTCCGCGGAGGTAATACGTCATAATGTAGACACACTTAATTCTTTCGAATCTGTCCAGCAATACGGAAAAAGGGTTTTTACGGAATAAAAGCTTAATTTGTCTAACGCGTATCCTCTCTCAGTAAAGTGTTTCACTGTTAGAGCAAGTTTTCCGCCAAAACTGTCAACAAGCTTATCAAGACCCATTCCCATATACTGGTAGCTATCTAGAAATCGGAGTTGTCCCACGTCCATGGCTATATATTTTCTGGAATAGACATCAACTTATCCGCTGTGACTGCCAATGGCTTCTATGAGATCGTATTCTCAAAATTATGACAAATGAGTGGATTTTGGTTTAAATGCAGAACTTTTTATTACAAACATTATGGGCTGGTCCCTTGTATATGTACCTACCACCAATATGACAATGTTCTCGGACTTTTAGTAACCTTTGTCTATCATATAATTTCTTCTACAATGCATGCATTTCTCTGTCTTCTTGAAAGTTTCATCATCGACTATATTCGGCTGATGATACCGGACCAATTATTTTTGCATAAATAATGTGATGCTTCTATAAATATCAGAACACCAAATAAAATATTATTTAGCAAATGATTCCTGACACTTTCAAAATGAGCTCGACCAATTCCCAGCATATTCAAATAGGTTTTTTTGGCAAAGAGATGTATTGCGATCTCAGCAGTATAATGTTCTTTTATTAATGCGAGCTTTCTTCTTAAGACGGCGACTAGCACTTATAAATCCACCATCCATGGCTTTAAGTTGCGCTATCAAAAAGAACTTTGGAAGAACTACCGCAACAGTCCGCATTCAAGAACTCTATCGCTTTTTCGTATTCAGTCATCATAACCATATAATACATTTTATGTGCAGTTTGTCTGTTTTGTAAATTTCTTTTACGTAGCATATTAAAATATATAGGATTACTCCTATATATCTCTACTCTTCTGATACTTTTCTCTTTCCCCTTGATTCTTGAAAGGTTTCTGACGATGCTCGTTTATTACACTTTGCTTCTGATTCTTGCCGACCTCGTTCAGAAGTATCTTTGTGATAAAAGTCAATTTTAACTAGCATTTAATTAACCTTTTTCATCGTATCGTGTGATTTTTACGATCACCTTTCTGCCGAATTATTGGGTAAATTTCTGTTCGCGCTAACCTCGAAAACCTAAAGAAGTTATTTTTGTGGTTAATCTTTTCGGCTGAAAGTTCTTATATTAAATGGGGCAGACTGCAACAAAACCAGACAAAGTGAACATTCTATTATGTGACATAAATGAGAGGCTGATTGTGATGTGG